TTGTCGAGCCCTCGCCTAGCACCCTGGAAAACCAGAGTTTAGTCCCCAGAGCCACAAAACAGAACATCATTAACAGCTTTAAGGCTTTTTTGAATATGCCAGGTGGGACGGTGCATACCTGTAATGCCAGCACGCTGGCAGGCTGAGGGCAAAGGATTTCAAGTTCAAGCCCAGCCTGGGCAAGTTAGTGACTTAGCAAGACTTTGTCTCAAGATAAAAAATGAGGGGCTGGGGATTTAGCTCAGCGGCAAAAAGCGCCTGCCTGGCAAGCGCAAGGTCGTGAGTTCGGTTCCTGGTACCGGAGAAAAACAAAAACAAAAACAAACAAACAAGATAAAAAATGAGAAAGGGCTGGGGATGTATCTCAGTGTGAAGGCCCTGGGTTCAGCCTCCAGTACCACACTAAAAAAAAAAAAAAAAAAAAAGGCCCTTTATGATTACATTTCACCCTCCCCCCATGATTACATTTCTACTTCCTTTCCCGGGGTGGGGGGCAAGCAATATCCTGAGTTCTGTATTTATCACTTCCTTACTGTCCCTTAGGGTTTTGCCATGGATGTTTATCTTCCTAACAGATTGTTTCTTCTCCAATGGTTTTGACTTTGGTGCTCAGTGCTGTTTTGAGAATCCTCAGCTTTGCTCACTCGGTTTTGCTTCTCTGCAGCCCTTCCAAGTGCGGCGGTGCGGTGCACACACTACCATTCTGCTGTTGGTAGGCGCCCAGGGGCTTTCCGTTTGCTGTTACAGTCAGGGCATCCAGAACCACTTTGTGCGTGTGTGTATGTGTGTGTGTGTGTGTGTGTGTGCATGCATGTGCGTGTGCATGTACGTGTGTGTGTGTGTGTGTATAGCTGGGGATTGAACACAGGACCTTGTGTGCTAGGAAAGTGCTCTGTCATGAGCCACAGCCCAAGTCCCCAGGACCATCCTGTTTCCATCTGCTGGAGAGCATGTGGAAGTTTCTCCGTCCTATGCACTAAGTAGAAACATCCTATGCACTGAATAGAAACACTGGATCACAAGGCAGTTGTCACACATCTTTTTTGTTTTGTTTTGTTTTTGTTTTTGTTCTTTGAGACAGGGTCCTACTAAGTAGATTAGGCTGGCCTTGACTTACTATGTAGCCCAGGCTGGCCTCAAACTCGTGGAGATACTCCTGCCTCAGCCTCTCGAATGCCGGGATTGCAGGCATGTGCCACCATGCCTGGCTTACACATCTGTAGGTTCATGAGAAAATACTAGTGGAGTTCCTCCAGCTTTTTTTGTTTTGTTTTTGAGTTCCTCCAGTTGATACACCATTTGTGGTAGGTGACAATTCCTGTTGCTCTACACTCTTACGATGCAATCAGATTAAAAATTGTTCACCAGGGGCCGGGGATATAGCTCAGTGGCATAGCACCTGCTTGGCAAATGTGAGGTCCTGAGTTCAGTCCTTGGTACCCCCTAAAAATTGTTTATCTGATGGATGAAAACAGTATCTTTTCTTTTTTTTTCTTCTTGGTACTGGGAACTGAAACCAGGTCCTTCATGCTAAGCTGCCTTCCCCAGCCCTTTTTTATTTTCTATTTTGAGATAGGATCTTGCTAAGTTGCCCAGACTCAGATGCTGGGCTCAAATTTGCAATCCTCCTGCCTCAGCCTCCCAGAGCACTGAGATTACAAGTATGTGCCAAAACACCCGGCTGGTGTGTGTGTGTGTGTGTGTGTGTGGTGTTAGGGATGAAGCCCAGGGCTTTGTGTGTGCTAGGCAAGTGCTCCATGACTACAGCACACACTCCATCCCTTATTTATTTTTATTTTATTTTATTATTTGGAGACAGGGTTTTTCTAAGTTGCCCAGGCTGGCCTTGAACTTGTGACCCTCCTGCCTCAGCCTCCCAAATAACAGGGAGGCTACTCGTGCACCACCATGTCCAGCTTGGCATCTGTCATTTTTTATTTGAATTTTCCATGTTATTATTTGAAGTGTGATGGGAGAAAGGCAGTTGCTTACAGAGCTACAGTTTGCATCTCCAAAGGCGACAGGTTATGGGCAGTTTCCGTGGACTTTGTGCCGGATGGGGAAGCACTGCCACAGGAAAGGAGGGATGCAGCCTCACAATCCTGTTGATTCCTGCAAAATACCAGCCCAGGCTTCCTGCCCAAGGCCATCCACTGTCTGTTGTCCTTCTTCCCAAGATGTCACCAAGGCTTGCATACCGGCCAGCCTCTCTCTCGGCCTCCCGGAGCCCACGCCCTAACTGAAATGAGGTCACCGGAATGCCTGGAATGGCCTAAGTTGTGGGGCAAGTGCACCAGCTTCCCTGGGAAAGGACAGCGCCTCCCTCACCCAGGCTGTCTGGAGGGAAGAAAATTCCAAGAGGTTCAATCCAATTTTACATTTTTTATGTGAACCACAGTGGGAGGAAAACCAGCCAGAGGCTTCTGGAGTCCAGTGTGGGTCGGGTGGGGGCAGGAAGGTTCCTCACTGTCACCGCTGGTCACCACGGCAGCCCAAACCTGTGCCTTGAGGCTTTTCTTCCTGAATTTTAGCAATCAACATACAGCCCCATAGAAGTATCAAGGGCTCTGGACCCAGTTCTTCCGCTTCCAGCTGGGTGACTTCAGGCAGGTGACATCACCTCTCTGAGCACCCTTGGCCCATTTGTGAGTTGGGGGCATATGGCCCACTTGATGGGTTGGGCAAGTCTTTGAAAGCTGCAGAGCTAGCTCCATGCCTGGAACATAGCAAGAAAATGCCACAAAAAATATTATTATGGTGATTTCTTTCAAACTGTGGGATATGT